TATAAAAGAATATATTCCTCAATTTGATTCGGTTCTGAATTTTGAGGCGAGTCCTCCTATTATGCTCCGCTTATGGATGAGATTTGTAACTTTGTAACCCACTTATATGTTATCCTTGTTGGGGAGATTTGATGATGTTAGCCCGTGTCTATCATTTTAATTTTGTGCACCATTGAGGGCTATAAATCCAAAAGTAATTTTTATTATTCACTACAGTGGGATTTGATGTGATTTCTGAATAATTGATTTCAATTTTATGAATTATATGCCCTACCTGGATGAGGGCTCATTATGTGTTATGGAAACTGTTTACGAAATATATCGAAAAGAAGAAAGAAAAGAAATTGAAAATTTCAGTTGGCACAATGTGCAAAATACTTGTGATTCGGAGTTAAGGATGAGATCCTCGCATTTTTATATAATGTAAAATATTTAAACCGGGCTACAAGCCGCGATGAAAGTTGTATAAGGACAAGGTCCTTGTGGTGAAATTTTTTATGAGTTTAAATTTTGCCTTTGTGAAATTTAAATTTGTACTATTAATAGGGAGTCATGCCTATTGGGTTTATTTGATAATTCTTGTATATCTTTCTGTGCATATTTAGCCATAATTGTGCTGTAATTATAGAGTTTTAACCTACGAGGTGAGTGCCCGAGTGGCGTTAAATGTGACTCATTAATTCAGGTTAATAATTATGAGGTATTCATGCCTCGCGTGTTGCTGTCAGTGTTACGAGAAGTTGAAATGAGATTTTGGTGAATATGAGATTAATTGAGGATGCTGAAATTAATTATAAAAATCTATTATGACCAGAGATGTGGTTATGGACATGTGTGTGATGTGTGTGTGGACAAGAATTGCTACAGCCAGTTGGGACTAATACCGTGTGTTGATGTGAGGAATTTAAAATTTATTGGAGTGTAAGGAAATTGGCTTTGAAGCTTACAAGTGTGAATAAAAGAAATAATCTCCAATGAGATGATGTTGTCGGACCCCTGTTAAATTAACGGTGACGTAGAATCACCCGTGAGTATGTGTGAAATAATGCACTCAGTAATTTAATGTCATCAGAATAATTCTTGGCACGTTCGAGGACGAACATATGTTTAAGAGGGGGAGAATGTAACAACCCGACTTGTCATTTTAAGAATTAACACCCTGCTCAGTGACTTAAGGTCTCGAGAAGTTTCGCAATATGTATTATGACCCGCGGGTGTGGTCGAGTTTGATTTTCGAAAGATTCAGAATTAAATTAAAAGAACAATTCTTATTTAGAAGCTTAAATGGAAATAGTTGACCGGAGAGTTGACTTTTGAGCAAACGACCCGGAATGAAATTTCGATGATGTCAATAGCTTCGTATGATGATTTCAGACTTAGGCGTATATTCAGATTTGGATTTGAAAGTTCGTAAGACAATTCGACGCATTTTGGCGAAAATTAAAAAATATAAGACTTTTGGAAAGTATTACCGAAGGTTGAATTTTTGACAACGAGGTCGGATTTCGATTCCAGAAATTTGAATAGCTTCGTTATATCATTTATGACTTGTGTGCAAAATTTGAAGTCATTCCGGATAGATTTGATATGTTTCGGCATAAGATATAGAATTTGAAAGTTCAAAGTTCATACATTTTGATTTGAGGTGCGATTCGTCGTTTGGATATTATTTGATGTGATTTGAGGCCTCTAGTAAATCCGTAATATGTTTTGAGACTTGTTGGTATGTTTGGACGGGGTTTCGAGTTCTCGGGTGAGTTTCGGGATGGTTTCGAACCATTTTTAGGTCATTTTTAATTGCTAGTTTTCGGCTACAGAGGTATGCATCGCGATCGCGGACAAACGGTCACGATCGCGAAGAGCAATTTTGCTGTTTGGACACTGTAAATCGCGATCGCGGAAGCCTTTTCGCGATAGCGTAGAGGAAAATTCTGCTGCACTGACCCAACTTTGGAAGCTTATATCTCGTAATCTATAAGGAATCTGGAGATAATCCAAAAATTAAAGTTGTAGCCCTTTGTGTCTAATTTTTAGAAAGGTAAACCATTTATTATTTAGAGTTGTATACAAAAGGTTATAGTGGATAAACTATAGACTGTCTGGGAAGAGTTTGGAAATCTCTGTTGCATAGGGCTGAGTTTGAAAGCTTATATCTAGCAATCTATAAGGAATTGGGAGATGATCAACACATAAAAGTTATAGCTCTTGGTGTCTAGTTTTCAGAAAGTTAAACCATTTACAATTTAGAGTTTTGTACAAAGCGTTATGACCATTATACTAGAGGCTATCTGGAAGAGCTCGGCACTTATTCTTCGCGATCACGAAAGGCAAATTTTGGGATGAGAAAAGTTGTGATTCGCGATCGCAAAGTATTTTCCGCAATTGCGAAGAGTTAATACATGGGTAGTAGCTATATTTTGAGATTTCAGCCATTTTTAACATATTTGGAGCTATGGAGTTCGGATTGAAGCAATTTTTAGGCGATTTTTCACCATATGGATTGGGGTAAGTGTTCTATATCCTAAAGTGTTTATATTTCATGAATCTATGATTACATTCATCGTTTAATTCGGATTTTAATGGAAGAAATCAAGATTTTTGGCAAAATCTTCCAAAAACTAAAATTTAAGATTTGGAGGTCGAGTTGTTATCGGAATTTGATAAAATTGGTATGGTTGAACTCGTATCGGAATGGGTATTCGGATTTCATAAAAATTATGTCGGATTCCGAGAGGCGGTCCCCGCATTGACTTTTGTTGACTTTTTGGAATAAATTTTTAAATCGACGTATTATTATCCGGAATTATTTTCGATGAATTTTAATGAGGTTGTACAATTAATTTGGATAGGTATGAGCTGTCCGGAGGTCAATTCAAGCAAGAAAGCGATTTTAGAATATCGGCCTAACTTCAAAAAGGTAAGTATCTTGTCTAACCTTGAGTGGGGGAAATTCTCCTTAGACATTGAGTCTTATGTGCAATTTGTGTAATTGAAAACCATGTACGCGAGGTGACGAGTACATACTTGGTTTATATGTGAAAATTACATTGGTTAAAATCCTTAGACACCCTTATGTATTAAATTAGAAATTATTGGCACTTATTAAATCCTTTAATTGTCTTACCTAAATCTTTGTTTTGTTGGATTTATTTTTATATGATGATTTGGTGTGATTACCACCTTGATTTTTATATGAAATATTATTTTGTTGAGTTGTTCACTCTCGGATATATTTGTTAAGATTTTGTGCACACTATGGTCGAGCCATGGGCTCCTTATTGTGAAAAATAATGTATTGTTAAATTTGGTGGCGAATTATAATATTTGAGCACTTGATGTGCAATCTGTAATAAATTATAATATTTGAGCATTTGATGTGTANGTAACAAAAAATGGGGCCTTCACAAATACGAGGCCTAAAACAGTTGCTTTACTTGTTTTATGGAAGGGCTACCCCTGGGGCACGTGAATCCATGCTCCTCTCTCTATTGTCTAGTGATTATTGGGTGCACCTTTATACGTCAAGTAAGAGGTTTAATTATCACTTTGTAGGCATGTCTAGTGTCTCCTCTTGTATTTTAATTGGGTATTTTTTTCTTCTTTTTCTTCTTTTTTATTTGGTTTACTCATTTAAAATCCCCAAATATAACACATTGAAATCCTTGATCTCCCTTTGTTATCACAAAATTTTATAAAATTTAAAGTAATAGCAGTGGATGATGTAGTAAAATATTCTATTCTTTCTTTCAAATAAAATTTTTATTCGTACAATTTATAAAGAATAGCAGGATGATTTCGGATTTCAAGCGGTGGTCTCAGCAGTTTTGTATGGAGTATAGGTATATACGTTAAAAATCATTAAAATTGTACGAAATATTTTTAATTTTAACCTATAATTTTTAAATACTAATGGATTTATGGTAAAAATCTAAAGGTTGAACCCGTAAATATAAATTTTAAATTTATCTTTTTATAATAATACACATGAAATTCTGGATCCGCCTCTATTTAAGACATGCATAACAAATTTCATTTAAAACCTCATATAATTAAAAGTATTTAGAAGACTTCTCAACCAACCATATTATGCTCATGGGACAGAAACAATACTCTTTAGGATCATTTGGTATGAGATATAAGAAAGTATATTAAAAATTTAATACGATCTTAATATTTTATTTGGTTAGCAAATTTGGTATAAGTTATCCAGGATTAAAATTAGTACCGGAATAGCTTAAAGCTTTTAGATGGTGGGGTAATTATTGTCGGGATAACTTATACCTTCTTCCTAGAAATTATACAATTATCATTTTTAATACAACATACCAAACAATAGATAAAAAATAATACCAAGATAACTAATCCTAACATAACTTATCCCAGCATAAGCCGTATTCAAACCAAACATCCCTTAATAAGCCTAAGATAGCTATTATCGAAACTCCGAACAAAAACACTGACGTTGACCAGCTGTCATAATAGCAGTGCGTAAAACTAAAAAAAATATTTATAATAGGCATAAATTCACATATATTGTAGGAATGGTGTGAATCAACGACAAAATGATCAATTATGGTCACTTACAATTTAAACAAAAACAATTAACTGTAATTTTTTTAATTTTATTTACTAACCTTTTAAGTTATTAATGTTATCAATCTTATATGAAAATGTTCATATAACTAGAAAAATATTTGCAATTGACCATAAAATTGATCTGTCCTTAAAATACCAAAATACACTGTGTTGTCAAAAATATTCATCATGCGTCCATTTTTAGCTAGCTCAAACAGCAATTTTATACCCTTAATAAAACAAAAATTTTAACTTGTTTTACATAAAATTTTTTTAAAATATTTTATTCTTTCTTAAACATGGTGCTAGATCAAACAATATCACATAAAATAAATAGTTAAAATATTAACCAATACTAGTAGTAAAAGTTTTCAATAATTATTTTCACAAAATCTTACTATTATACCACCGCTTGAAATCCGAAATCAAAACTTCTTCAGAAGGGAAAACACATGTCATCTTCTCCTTGTTGTTGAATAAGAAAGGGAAAACTGCTCTTCATTTTTCTCTCTGTAACAAACTCTTCTTCTCTCTTTAGAAACCCTTTTTCGAGGTATTCTTCTTTTGGCTACAATTCTTCATTCTTCTTTCCATTGCTTCTTTGGCTGTCATTTGAATTGTATCTTAGCTTATTTACGTTTTCCTATATTTTTTTTCTATATTATTTGGGGATCTTTTTACTATTTCAGCTGTAAAATTGCTTCCTTTTCTGTATAACTCCGTCGTTTATTTGTTCTTGTGATTTTAAGTTTGTGATTTATCTACTCCCTCCGTCCCATTTACCTGGCATAGTTTGACTTTTGACTCTGCATACAGTTTAAGAAAGAAATAAAGACTTATAAAATTTGTAGTCTAAAATAAGCTATGCATAATTACGTGCCTATAAAATATTTCATTAAGGGTAAAATGGAAGTGTAAAGATAAATTGTTTCTAATATAGAAAAGTGTCTTTTTTGAGGACAGATTAAAAAGGAAAGTAAAAAAAAAGCAGTCCGGAGCATAAGGTATCCTGCATTCACGTAAGGTCCGGGGAAGGGCCGCACCTGAGGGTGTGATGTAGATAGCCTACCCTAATGCAAGCGTGACTGCTTCTACGGCTCGAACTCGTGACCTATAGGTCACACAGAGACAACTTTACCGTTGATCCAAAGCTCCCCTTCCTAAAAAGGAAAGCGTGCCACATGAATTGGCAGTGATAGGGAGTATTAATTTTCCTTTCCAAATTTCATTTTTCTCTTTATTTATATGTGAAACTTTGGACAGATATTTCTCTGTACAGTTACAGCATTATTATTTGATTCTTTGCATCTTGTGTATCATATCAGTGGAAAGATAAGTGGCATTAGAATTTTGAGCTTCAATAAGCTTGTATTGGTTTGCTGAAGATAGTAATATATAAAAAGGTCAGTTGGGTTATATTTAGAAACTAATTCCTAAAAACTGCAGGCTTAAAAAGAATTAATTTGTAGTATTCTGGTTTCATATAATTGGTTTAATAGATATACTAAGATAGTAGAAGAGGGAAGGAAAAAAGGAGTTAAGAATCACAAGTAATAGAAGAAGCAGACCCGCATACTAGAAGAACCTTACCACCTTAGTACTCAAATGACAAAAGCCCGTAAACTTTTTTTTTCTCTTCATGAAAAAAGACCCTTTTTCTTCTATATTTCAATGTTAGATTCAAAGAATAGCTTCACCTTGTGCCTCACCGTTTAAAGTGCACATTTTTCCGAACCACATTGCTGCGCCTATGAAGCGATAGCCCCTGTTTTGCATCGTTCCTCCCTTTAAAGCGACGATGCTATGGCTTTTAATAAAATTGCCTTTCAAAGCATGGTTTCCCCCCTCTTTTTTATATAATTGCTTTATGATTACAAAAGAAAAATGGTCCATATTCTGTTGTTTTCGTGCTTGAATCGCTAGAATGTTCATATAGATTGATATGAATGAACTAGTATAGCACTTTCCTTATCTTAATATACTTCTTCCAGATTGCTAGTCTTGATACTCGCGTGCACCAATAGTTACTGGTAATCAATACATCTCAGCTCCCTATTTACTGCACATATTGTATGTGTAATATGCAACTTTCTTTATTTAATAAGTTTATCCTAAAATGATTAAATTAAAATGAAATTGTTTCAGTTCAGTTGCAGTTACTAAGGTAATCCGTTATGTTTGGACGGGGTGCAAGGAGGAGTGATAACTCCAAGTACTATGAGGTTCTTGGTGTTTCAAAGAATTCCAGTCAAGATGAACTTAAAAAGGCATATAGAAAAGCTGCTATAAAGAATCATCCTGACAAGGGTGGTGACCCTGAAAAAGTGAGTTGCGCCTCTCGCACGTGCAATTAAAATTCTCTGCATGTTGCCGTTCCATATGTGTTGTCTCTGTACCAAGGAATCTTTGTTATTCTGATGCTCGTTTTGTCATTTTTTGTCCTATGTTTTCTTGGTCATATTTTTTTCTCTACTCAGTTCAAGGAATTGGCTCATGCATATGAAGTTTTAAGTGATCCAGAGAAGAGAGAAATTTATGATCAGTATGGTGAAGATGCGCTTAAAGAAGGAATGGGTGGTGGTGGTGGCGGTCACAACCCATTTGACATATTTGAGTCATTCTTTGGTGGAGGTTTTGGTGGAGCTTTTGGCGGTAATGTTGACTCATCTCCCTCTTAGGTATAGGGTGGATAGGAAGAGGTCATGCAAATTGGGAGGGCGGGGTTGCTAAATTCCTCTTGTCAGTATTATCTTTTTTTAATTTTTTGGTTGAAAAATCCATCGGCCTTTGGTTATCCTAGGTGGTGGTAGCTTCAGAGGCAGCAGAAAGAAACAAGGTGAAAATGCGGTGCACACTCTACGGGTTTCTCTGGAAGACTTGTACAGTGGCACAACCAAAAAGCTCTCTCTTTCACGGAATATATTGTGCCCGAAGTGTAAAGGGTATTTCTCCTTTCTAATTATCTGGCTTTTCCATTTCCTACTTTCTTTCCGGCACTGTGTGACAGTGATTTTCAAGATAATCCGCTGAATGATGACATGGTTTTTTAAATTTCTCTTGTTCTCGTTAAGGCTGAGAATCGATGCCGAGTTGTCAGTGAACGTATCTGAAAGATTTTGAACAAATTGTGAGTCCAATAGAGAAAGAATGTGTGCACTCTATGTATGTATACACATGTACAAAATGGTGACTGTGGTTCATCAGGACCTTTTATGTTTCTTTGTGTTATTCCTTTTTTTTTCATTGGTTTCTCTCTCCAGTTATTCTGCCTGAAGTAGTTAAGGAACTTGGAGTTGGCGCCCACATAATGGATTGCTCACTTACCGAGCCATCCAAGCAAGTTATTGATTAGTTTTCGTTTTAAACAGGCATTGGATCTACTGTGTAAAGGATCGATTCATTCAAGCAAGAAAGTGCAACAATCCTTTACTTTCCACTGGTTCCGTAAACGAGTGAAAACATGTATAACAACAACAACAAACCCAGTATATTCCCACGGGTGGGGTCTGAGGAGGGTAGTGTGTACACAGACCTTACCCTAGAGGCTGTTTCTAATAGACCATCGGCTCAGAAAAAACAAGTGAAAACGTGTAACTTGTACAAATCTTTCTATTTTCCAAATTGATCCAATCCGTTAGTTCGTTGAGCTATTTACTCAAAGATTGAAACATGATAGTCAGAGGCATTAGTTTATGGTTTTTTTCTAAGGAAACCTGAATTTCATGGATATGTTCTTCCTAGTGTAATTGATGCAACCTCTATAGAGCGCATTCATAAAATTTGCAGTGCAGATTGTTAGCATGTGTTCCTGAATAATGCAAACACTGAATTTTAGGCAGGTTGTGCATTTCAATCATATTTGAGTCCAAATCGACCACCATCTGAAGAAATTTCTGTGTTGATCGGACTTTCCAAAAATGTCGTTGGATGCGTGTTGGATCCTGCAAAAGTAGTGTAATTTTGGAGGATCCGACACGGGTGCGGCAGCATTTTGGAGAGTCCACGCAACATAGAGAAATATTTGACTCAGTTGTAATTTTGGAGGCAGAATTTCTGTTTTCTTTGGTACTTTGAACTCCTTTAAATGCTCTGTTAATGTTTTGTTGGACGTTGAAAGGCTTGGATCTAGTTTTTGTGGTGTTCATCTATATGGATATGTACCAAGGTGATTATGAGTTGCTACTTTATAGTGTTCCTCCTTTGTTGGGTGGGTACGTGTGAGGTTGCTGCATCTCAGTGGGAAATCTAATTTAACCTTTTTGTCTGTTGCAAATTAACAGATTTGTAAAAAACATAACATCATTTTTGGTGCAAGAATTATAATAAGGAGAGAATGTTCAGAAAAAATGAATTATCTGATAGATATTTGCTCTACATTTCGTTCTCGTTTAGAAATTCACCTCTTTCGTACTGTAGGTTTATGTTCTCATACCAGAATATCTGCAATCTGAATGAAGAGATTAGGGCTTTATACCACTCCTTAGTTTTTAGTTTAAGCTCGTCTTAATTGGCTTTTATTTATTGGATTGCTTATGGATTGAACTTGCTCTCAGCATGTATGTTTTGTTGAACTTCACCGGTGCAAGTATATGAGTTCTCTATGATTTTCTTGGATTATCAGGAAAGGTTCAAAGAGTGGAGCCTCTGGAACATGTTTTGGTTGCCAAGGTACTGGAATGCGTGTCACGACAAGACAGATAGCCCCAGGAATGATTCAACAGATGCAACATGTTTGTCCTGAATGCCGAGGCTCAGGTACGTAGTTAATGAGATTATTCCTGTAATACTAATTCTCAGTCTTATATGTAGAGAAAAAATATTGGTAAAACTATGCGTCTTTTTTTGTTAATACAGGAGAGGTTATAAGTGAGAGAGACAGGTGCACTCAGTGCAAGGGAAACAAAATTACACAAGAAAAGAAAGTATTGGAAGTGAATGTTGAGAAAGGGATGCAACACGGTCAGAAGATTGTTTTCGACGGGGAAGCTGATGAAGCTGTAAGAGTTTTTTATGCAATGCCAATATATTGCTCAGCTTTTGCAATTCCCCAAAAATGTTAAATTGGGCCTCCAAAGTTTCTAGTCAATATTTGCAAACAAAAATGGGTCCTTACTTAATCTGATATATTTGAACTATAAACATTGAATTTAAGTTCAAGACTTTGAATTGAATATATATCCTTCTCACTGAGAAAATCGTCAAGGCTATCTGCTTCCTTTGGCAGTAAGTGCACTGCCTTTCTCATTTTGGAAAGTGATATTTCTGTTCTAATGGTTGTATTGTGGTTATGCAGCCAGATACCATCACCGGCGATATTATTTTTGTATTACAACAGAAGGATCACTCCAAGTTCAGGCGAAAGTCTGATGATCTTTACGTGGAACACAATCTTAGCTTGACAGAAGCTCTCTGTGGCTTTCAATTTGTTCTGACTCATCTTGACGGCAGGCAGCTTCTGATTAAATCTAGCCCCGGAGAAGTTATAAAGCCTGGTAAGGAAAATTCTTTAGTTTTTTTCTTTTAATTTACTTATTTTCTTTTGTAAAGGGAGACGCGATTAATATTGGATGATCATTTGGTTGTCTCTTGCAGATCAATATAAGGCAATAAATGATGAAGGAATGCCCCATTATGGGAGGCCATTCATTAAGGGTCGGCTTTATATCCATTTTAATGTGGAATTTCCAGAATCTGGATTTCTTTCCCCTGAGAAATGCCGCATTCTTGAGACTATTCTGCCACCAGGGAAGCGCGCGTCTGATATGGAGTTAAATGATTGTGAGGAAACCACTTTGCATGATGTCAACATGGAGGAAGAAATGAGGCGCAAGGAGCAGCGACGCAGGAAAGAGGCTTATGATATGGATGACGATGATGAGCCAAATGTGCATCGTATGGCTTGTAACCAACAATAAAATCTTTCAGATAAGTGGTTTTTCATATAAGTCCCAATTTTTGTCTATGCTCCGTTGGCAGTTTGGGTTGGGAAAAACAGGCTTTCTTTTAGTTCTTCAGTTTAATATGTTGGTCTCACTTTTGTAGTCCCTTCTATTTTTGGTCCTAAAATTCATTCGTCAATAGGGCTCTTTGAGCTATTATTATTGAGCATTCTAGCATTCCTTAGCTAGTAGTAGATGATATAGTAACAATAGTTTCCATGTCACCACCAAAAGATGTGGTGTAGTGGATGAGACTGTTCTTCCCTTAACCAGAGGTCTCGAGTTTGAGTCCTGGGTATGGAAAAATCCTTGGTAGGGAGCGCTCCCCCCTGAATGGGGCCTTACGCGGCGCGAATCCGGATATAGTCGGACTCCAATGCGGGTACCGGACACCAGGTGGGAAACCAAAAATATAGTTGCCATGTCCATTGATCTTGTGGGGATTGTGTGCTATGTTAGCAACGACAGGATGATAGATACAGTTTGAATTATTGGGGTGTCTGTCGCAATTTCAATGCGTAGCCGTTGAAGACATAATTAAATAAATAAGAGTGTGTTCACTTAAAAAATTTAAGCTTTTTGATGACATGACCATATATAATTTAATATGTTATAAGTGCAGGTAGAAGTGTAACCATATAGGATCTCTGACTTATTTGGATTCGCTGTCCTATAAAACTCATTAAAAAGAAAGTGTAATATATTATGATTTTTCATATTCTTAAAAAGCTCGAACCTGAAACTCTTAATGTGTAGAGTAGCAAAAGGTATAGGGCTCTAGTATGTTGAATTTGAACTTTCTTTTTAGGGTTTCTTTTTCTCTTTAGGTCTTACATTAAGTACCATCCACTGAAGTTGCCAAAGTTTTAGTGCATTGACGATAAGTTTGGAGCCAAAAGGTATGTGGCTATTTTCTCCTATTCTAGTTCTAGCTAAAAAGGAGGGGGGAATATGAATTACCTTTATTAAGTTAGTGGCGGAGCCAGAATTTTCGTTAAGGGGTGTTAAAATATATAAAAGTAACATACCGGAAAATTAAGGAGAGTCAATACATAGTATATATACATATAATTTATTTTTTTATCTAGCTACACAGTGTATTTTTTCCGTTAAGAGGTGTCAAATATTTTTCCTATAAGGTGGCTCCGCGACTGTATTAAGTGCGTTTCTCCTATGCTAAAAGACCACACCAGGATCATCATATTTGGAGATCATAATTACGGTTTTGAAAAATTCTCAAAGTCTAGATAATCATCATCACTATATAGAATTTAATAATAGAATGTTTGTTTGACTGAAAATTTTGCTCGTGTAAATTACCCTATTAAAACATGTTATTTATCAATTATTCTAGGTTATTGTTACTTTCATTATTGTTTAAGTGACCTGATTGGTAGATTTGCCAACAATTAAATAAAATGCCCATAAAGATCTCTATTATTTTCGGCAAAAGACAGGAATTTTAATGACGTTTATTTACTGAAATTTAAAGTAGTGAAATTATGTTAGTTGGCTAGTCGCTTGAATAAAAAAGGATGTTGGAGTAGGACCAACTATACAATCAAATAACCAAGTATTATATCCTTTTAGGAGATACTACTATAAGATACAACTTACTATATTACCTACGTAAAATTTGACAAATTGCTAAAGAAATAGATGTTATGTTTCGCGAATGGACGTGAATGGGAAATGGAAGAGATACCTTTTGAATTGCACCTGTTCAACTCACTCTTTCATTGTTTATAAATTTAGAGGATTAGCCTCAATTCTCAGACATGAAAAATCTGAAAATTACTCCCATCTTTTCTACATTGTTGTGTTGTTTTCAAATAAACACACTGTCAAGTGTGATTTGTTTCGTTTGTTGAGTTCGCTGAAGTTCTGTAATTTCGATTGCCAGTATTACAGAATAGTTTTTCCGTTCTATTCTGAGAGGAAGTAATCCATAACCTTGGGCAACAATGAGGGAATTAAATTCTTTAAGGACACACAAGTAACTTGGTGGGTTCGGAAATTATTATTTTTTGTTTATTGAACATACATTTATTTACTTCTCTGATTTTCTGGTTTTGAACACAATTTTTAATATATTTGTTGTTGAGATGGCTGATCACAGACAGAAAAATAGGAGTGGAAATCGTTTTCTACTTTGGAAAGATAACGATGAAGCAAATCATCTGATATGGTCCGAACTCCGAAGTGGAAACCGAGTCGACGCTTCATGAGAGGAAACACTGCCATTGGATTGGGGACTCATTCACACGAGATTCCTTTACTGGGGACTCATTCGCTATATATTTCTTTTCTCATACTCCAGTTTGATATGGTGCCTAGGAGTGGCAAACGGACGGGTTGGGTTGGATATGGTTCGGATAAAAAATGGGTAATGAAAAAACGAATAAATTATTCGATCTGACCCATATTTAATACGGATAAAAAACGGGTTGACCGACGGATAATATGGGTAACCATATTACGCATGACTTTTTGAATATGATCACTTTTGGGAGAACTTTTAGTCTCCCAAACTTGAGGAATCCCCAATTTGAGGCTTCACAAATGTAAAAGTTAAACTCATTGGTTATCTATTTTCTAAGGGGTCATTTGGTTGCCGATTAGAGTTATGCATGTATTAGTTATGTATGTATTAGTTATGCAGGAATAAGTAATGCATGGATTAGTTATGTAAGGTTGAGTTATGTTGGGATTAGTTATGCATGGATTAGTTATGCGGGGATTAGTTATACGGTAGTTATATAAGGATTAGTAATATAAATGTAATGTGAGTGTTATTTATTATTAGCTTACTTTATTTTATTAAAATTGTTAGTATAGTTTAAATATATATTTTTAAACAAAAAAATACAAGTTTGAATAAAGGGTATTCTTGTTATTTTGTGTTTTAATACAAGTATTACTAATACATGTATAAGTTATTTCACCTTCTGCCCTGCATAAATAATACATAGATTCCCTCATAACTTATACATGTATTAGTTATGCGGAAAAGAAAAACATGAACCAAACATTGTATTAGCAATGCTATATTTTATGTGGAAAAAAAGAAAAAACAACCAAACATTGTATAACTTATGCTAGCTTCTATGTGGAGATTATTTTTTCCCCTTCTTTTAACCAAACAATATATAAAGTTATCCTAGTTTTAATCAGTGTTTAAAAAGGCATTTCTGGGACTCGCCCCTAGGCGGGGCACTTGCAAAACGGCATAGGGCTCATGTATGGGGCTTAGTTCTGTGAGGCTTACGCCCCAAGCGCCCGACCGTGCGCCCTAAACACGCCTAACGCCCAACGCTCGGGGCTCGCCTGACAATTCTAACGCAAATCACGTGTCGAATTTTCTAATTAATATCGTTGACCTTCAAAATTCTTTAACAAATTAATGATAAAAGTTCTATTCATCGATAGAAATATGAACATTGAGCATAACTCTAATAATGAGACATATTATTGAGAATTTATATCTTCACTTGTTATTGGTCGTGTCTTAGTTCATTTGTCCCTCTTTGTTATACACTTTTATTAATTTGATATCTTAAACTAATTTGTATTTATTCATGAAGGAGTAATATTTTAATTATCGTACTAATAAGATTTTATTAATTATTTACTTTTAGGAAGGTGCAATGTGGAGTTTGATCATTTTTTTTAAAAAAAAATGTAAGTTTTTAATTATTTGAAAGTTAAAAACGTTATACGTGATTTGTATGCATTAGTTATACTTAAGAATCATGCTAGATATTTTGTTTTCTATGAGTTCCTTTAATTTTCATGCTAGATATTTTGTTTTCTATGAGTTCCTTTAATTTTCTTTTAATTTTTAACTTTTAATTTATATTTTATATTTTTTGTGTTATTATGTTATTTTATTAATTTATAAATTAAAATTTTTAAAGATCCATGGGGCTTACCTCCTCCCCCCGCCTCCAAGTTTACGCCTCGCCCCATATCAAATAAAACGTCCCGTCTCATGCTTCCGCCTANATATATAAATATTTTAAAAATTCAATACCTATGGGGCTTAGGCCCCGTGTCCCGGGGCTTACGCCTCGCATTACGCCCACGCCTTTTAAAACACTGGTTTTAATACATGGATTATTTCTCTCTAACCGGCTACCAAACGATCCTTAAATGAATAATATGATTCTTATTTATATTTGACTCGTTTTTAAAAAAATTATTATCCAACATATTTTTTAGTGGATAATATGGGTGGTTAATTATTTTCTTTTAACCAATTGTTAGTGATTCAATGGACTCTAATCTAGCAGTCCATGTAACAATGAATATGTGGCTGAATGTGTGAGTATTAATCGGTTCGCTGACTATAAACTAAGGGGTCGTTTGGTGAGCGCATTAAGTTATCCTGGGATAATAATTTCTGGACTATAATAATTCCAAATTTGATGGGATAAGGGGATAAGATGAGATATTCAGTATTAAGTTTGAGATTAAATTTATACCATGTTTGGTTGATGGTATAAATTTATCCCAAACATGATAAATTTAATCTCTTACCAAATAAATTTATATCATCAACTAAATATGATATAAATTTAATTTCTTATCTTATCCCACTTTATCCCGCCTACCAAACGATCTGAGGGAACGAAGATTTGAAAAGGATGATATTCCAAAATGAGTTATATCTCATGAAACTTTGTCATGTAGTGTCCTGACAAAAGACATGGACTCATTAAAGCAAAATTATGGGATCTTACACTTAGTAATACAACGTTCACGTAAGAATTTAGTTACTGATTCTGGTTCCAAACTGTGAATCCAAAGTTGTCTTTGGAGATTGATATATTAATGTGGTTTTGCTTATCCAACGTTGGACTACAGGTCGAAAACTCATAATAATAATAATAATAATAGTATGAATGCTAAAGCATTAGCAAAAACCTTCTAAAGTGTCACGTTCTTAGTCCTTAACTAAGGGGTGTTTGGTAACCGGTTAGAGAGGAGTTATCCATATATTAAAATTAGGATAATTTTATATATTGTTTGGTTAAAAGAAGAGGAAAAAATAATCTCCACATATAAGCTAGCATAAGTTATACAATGTTTGGTTATTTTTTCCTCTTTTCCATATAAAATGTAGCATTGCTAATACAATATGTGGTTCATGCTTTTCTTTTCTGCATA